ACGCAACACAACAACAAAACACTTCGCTCACTTGCTGTCTCTTTCAAGAATGAGCATACAAGTATATGCTGCGCGCCCATGTTTATAAAACTTTATGCGCTTTTCAAAGTCTTAGAATCCATAATCGAAATGAAAAAAAAAAGCGTCGAGCTTGGTCAATAAGTAAAATACCCAAAACGCGCGACCCGAAAATCAGCTAACCTATTTTAGTAGACATACTTGTTTATAAATAACATAATCAAATTACAAATACTAATTTATATATATTGCATTCATACAAGTATGTATGTATTTATATTTTGCTATTTGATATTTTCCTACAAATAATTAAATATCTTCAAAGTGTACTTAGCTTAAAGCTCGACAAAGGCGCGATTATATAGTGTACCGTTATAACCAGCGCCAAAGCGTTCTCACTTAAAATACTTTAAACAAATTTGAGTTAAATGTAATTTCAAATAATTTTGAGAAAGTAAACTGATATGGATTTGGACTTTGGAATTGTCTTGATTTGAAGCGAGAATCCGAAATCGATTGGAGTTTTATACATAAATATTAAATTAATAAATGTTATACTATATTTAGGTATATATAAATCCTAAGATGTTAGCATTATGACCAACATAATATAGAATTCGACTTCAATTTCATAGCCAATTTCATTCATAAGATTTTGTCTTCATTTCATTTTCATTTTCATTTCGTCTTGATATTTTCATGTTTCAGCTAAGTGTGACTAACACTAAGTGAGTCTGAGAATTACTATGCAAATTGTAATATGTATTATTATTATTATGGCTATTATTTTTTCATATTCAATCATTTTTTTACTATATATATCATACGTAAAACAACAGCAAATGAGTGTATTTGATAAATTTGGTTAGGTTTCTGCTAAATTTATGCTGGCGGGGATAAAAACTGTGTCGTAGCATTAAAACAACGTGTTCGATACTAGCTAAGGGAGAGCAACAATTCAAAGGGAAATAATAAAGGGGCGAAAGAAATTTTAACGCATTAAAAAATGGAAGAATTCGAAAACAGAAACTTCAGCAAAAACGTGTACTTAATGTTGTTTTTCATACATTCGCTTATCGCAAAGTGCCAGCAAAAGCCAGAACGAGTATAATGGCCGTCAAAAGCAAGTGCACAAATTCAAATTCAAATTCTATTTTCATATTATTTTCTCAAAGAATATGAAATAGTGTTGTATAGTGTATTTACATATCAAAAAATTATTGGGAACTTATGTAAGCTTTATATAACATATGACAATTCCAAATTGTAAGTAATGTGTGTAATGTTATAAATAAATCTTATATTTTTGTTCTCCAATCTTGAAAATTTTGGTTTTTAAATAAGTTTTTGTCCTGATTTATCTTATAAATTTTTCTAACATAATTTTTTTTTTAATATTTCTTCAATCCAAGGGATTTAAAACAATATCTTCCTTACAATTAATTCTCATTGTGCACCTACTTTTGACACTCAGTGTCGCTACTGTTTTTATAGCATACTTCGTGGCATTTATTGCATGCTTTCATTTTTGCTGCCCACCATCCTTCATAACAGTGACTGTGAAAAATATGTCGCTGCACCATGGTGCTGTGCCGATACCGATTTGGAGGCCGCATCAGTTTGAGCGCCCTACCACATCAACTATTCCCAACACTAGTTGAGAATTTGACTGGATTTAGCTTTTTCGTAAATCGCTTAGTTTCGAAGAAGGGCATACATATGTCTATATACAAGACAGTTAAGTGTTGGTGAGCATACATTTTACTTTTTTATTGTTGGCGATTATTTTCTCTTAAAGTTTTCGTGCCCGTTTTTGTCTCAGGCGAAAATGTTGCTTCGACGCTGCCATTTGACTGCGAGTTGCCAGCAGATACTTTCGCACAGATTTACGCGACCAGATGCAAGCGCCAGCTCCATGTGTTGAAAATAGCAGCAACAACAAAAAGTGCAGCGCAAAAGAAGGAAATTTCTTCTTGTAATCAGCGATGCTGCTGTTGCTGTCCCGCCTTGACTTGTTTACTTTGACTGCGCCTGATGGCAGCGTGGAAGTGTGTGGCTGTGGCAACATTTGTCAATACAAAAATACTGAGCTTTTTTCGCTCACTACGTGGCGTTGTATGGTGTTTTTGTTTTTGTTTTGGTTTTCTTTCATCTTTTATTAATCTTCGCTTCGTTTTTATTTGCTTCGGAATTTCGTTACAGATTTCATTTGTGCATCCGTTTTGTTTTTTCCATGCACACACATTCACACACACAAGCTCACACACACGTATGTACATGTGTATGAGCTCAATAACGCGTTGCAGGCATATATGCAACATAAAGATTCAACACTCGTTTTTTTCGTTTTGTCTGTTTGTAATGTGGTCAACAACAAAAACTATAACAAAAACAGATAAGGCAAATTCAAAAACAATATTCGTTTACGACGCGTTTTTTAAACCATTTTTATCTTTTGCTGGAGAAGTGGGAAAACTTCAACAATTTAAGTGTATGCGAGCATATATTGTACATATGTAACCAAGTGGAGAGGGGAACGAGGGAAACCAACTTAAAGCATACTTCTATGTGTCGTATGTATGTATGTAAGTAAGCAATAACGGTTAAAAACGCAGTTGCAGCAACACATTTAGTGGATTTGAGGATTCGATATTTAGATTTATTAAAAAATAGTGGAAGAGTAAGAAGTAGAGATAACAATATGCAATATACGGTGGTATATAGATATTTAAGATTAGTAAGTGAAAACGCAATATTTAACATATATGATGGTGAAAATGTAACATACATATAAAAGGTTATTTACAATGAAAAGTTGATAAATAAAATAAAATTAAAATTTATTACCTTTTCATGATTTCAACGGAAAGATAAATAAGTTTGTCTGGCGCTCGTGTGAAAGACACAGATTCATGCCCTAAGAAGTGGTATATATGGTAGGTATATACAATAGTATATTCCAGATTATTGTTAAGCCATTGTATTTATTTGAATCATTTTGAGAGGGAAAAAAGTTTATAAATCTGACTTTCTAACATATTATTTAAGACTGGTAAACTGTTACTGTGATTAATAGATCTCCCTTCAAGAGCACAGACAATTTGCTGGCACTTTGTAAACATTTTCTGAAATTGAAAAGTTATTCAGTTGCTTGCTGTACGCTCGAATTTAGTTTTGGTGGAAGCTTTATTTTAAATGAACCAGGAATTGCCAATCGATTGAACCATTTAGCTTCTAATGCAACAACAAAAACAAGTTACTATAGAAGTGTTTGAAATTTTTATAGTTTGGCGTTAAATAAAAAAAATGTTTCTTCCACAAACCGATTTGCAAAAAACATATTTTACTACCCCAGTAGTTTATATTATTACTATTAAATACACAAGATACATAACAGCTTTTCAATTAAAACAATTTGATTTTCTCAGCCTAAACTTTAGTCAAAATGAGTTTTTATTTATGGCTTTTATATTATGTATTGATTATTACAGAAACTGTCTTATGTTTTCAGCTCCTACGATACAATTGCAATTTATTATTCGATTAGGACTTTGGCTACAATTAGGAACTTCGCAAATAAGAGGGAACTGGAATAGAGACCAGAAGTATCTATTCCTACACTGGCATTAAATTTAAAAAAATGTTTAGGTTAAATTTGAAAAATACAAACACAAAACGTATAATAATTAATGAGATATAAGCACGTATAAATTGTTAGTTTGAAATGGCACAAATTAATTAAAATTTATTGAAAAATCAAGTGTCCAAATTAAATACATCATAATGATCAATAAAAGTTATTAAAATTTCATAATTTGTATTTAAAATGTGGTATATTTTACAACAACAATAAATATTTAAATATATATACTTATATATATATATGAGACAATGCAAACAGACGCAAAAATGCGGGAGTGGTGAATAGAACACAGAAACTAACACACAGACATGCACTGTTTGAATGTGTGTGATTGTGAGTGTGTGTATTTACAATAAAAGTAACCATTTAATATCATAAACACCAGCTAACCGTCATGAATAAATGAAAATTCAAAAAGTGTTTATATCGATTTAATTAGTGGGTGAAAATTGATAAACAAAGCAATAAAACGAAAAGTGGTTTTCACGTGATGCTGGTTGCCTAGAGTAACGAAGTAGCAACAAACTAAAAAACATGACATCAATGAAAATACAAAGTTAAGAAGTTGGCAAAAATATGACTAAAATGCAAAAAAATATAAAATTATATCATATGAAAATACAAAAAAAAAGTAATTTATCAAATAAATTAAGAAAAACCTCAACTTTTTGATAGAACGCAACTAGCGGCTTATGCTTATTTTTCATAAAAACTGCATAATAATTCAATATAAATAAAGTATGTAAAAGTTTCATTTATATAAAGGAGTAAAACAGTGGGGCACAATAATATTTTTTGATTGCAAATTTATTTACTTGAGTAAAATCAATATACATATTTAGGCGAAAAATAAAATAATAAAAAAACTAAACAACTCAACAGCACAGCGAACAATATAATGTAAGATGTTTTCGTAAAATTAACAGTAGAGCGTTTTCGTTGTGAAAAATGTGTTTGGTTGGAACCGGTGGCGTATGAGTAACATTCAACATGAGATGCGATGTTTCTTTTATACGTGTACACTTAACTGTTGACGAGTATATGTGTAAGTGTGCATGTGCACATGAGTCTTTCTACATGTTCTACTAATAAACTCTTTTGTTTACATAACTTTGCAATAAAAATATTTAATTATTTTTTTGCTTTATATTTTCAGTAAAAAAAAATTAATTAAATATTACTTTTAGGCGAATCAGTGAACTTTTGCATATTTTCTTTTAATTTTTTCCTACGCAAAATGTTTTAATTGCAGCGAATTGCAGCTGAGTAACACAGTAAAAGCAGTGTTTTGAAAGCATTGGCTGTGAATGCAAAGTTTGAATGGTTTTTTCGAACTTACCTCCTGTGGTGGAACGTCATAGGTGCGGGTACGCAAGTCCACACGGGCGTACGAGTCAATGCATGGTAAGATAAAGAAGATGCCTGAAAGCGCACAGCAAATTAAAATTATTTTTAAAAGAAAGAATTGTTAGAAATTGCATGAGAAATTTATTTGATGTTATTTTTTTCGATTCGAAGTGGAACTAAGATTTCCTCCTTAATATTTTAATTTAAAAAATTCAGTGTATTTTTGACATAAGAAGGTAAGTTTACAACAACATTTGTGAGAGAAAAAATTTTTGTAGAAGATAAAATTTAAAGGCCGAAAAACTTGGTTATTTGAGATTTTCACCTAAATGTTAAGGCTATGTCTAAAAGTTGTTACTACAAAAGTTATAGATTTTTACATTATCTATAACTTTGCCAGTGGTTTTGTCGGAAATCGAGATAAACAGTGTTCAACCTTTAAAAATTCAACCACGCCTCTCCTCTTCCTCTTACTCTTCCCGAGCTCAGATCGCCCGTATATTATTTTGCTTTGAAGTTTTGTTATTTTAACATATGTATCTTTCGTTTCCAATGGCTTCCATTCTACTATGATTTTTTGCTATCCTAAATTATTTATCCCTGGTCTAAGTAACACTCTCCAAAGCAAACAATTTTAAAATCGGAAAAGCAATATCATGGCTTATAAAGGACAACTAGCGCCCACCTTTGCCCTCAAACTAAACGCTTTTGTACCTTAAAATAACAGTTCGTTACAATTTATGCAATTAAAATTAATTAGACAAAGAAAAAGTACGAACAACAGCAGCAACAACAACAGTTAGAACCTCAAGCATTTGCTTGCGACCTTTCTTTAGAAAATTACCATTTGACACATTTGACACTAAAATGTGCACAATTTATGCTTTTGTGGCCAATTGAGGAGAACTACTTTGCCCTCCCAACGACCTACGCAGCCCCGGCAACTGCAGCTGCGACACCAGCGCCAACATCCGAGGCAACAAAGTACAACAAGGACGCGAAAAAGAATCACAGCGGTGTGAACATTGCTCTTGCAGCGCGACTAACAGCTTCGACACGAACGGTAACAGCTGCAACAGCAGCAACAACAACAACAACTTTTGCTTCACAACAAAGGCGGTGAGAATAAATGCAATGCGTGCATGACAAGGCAGCGGCAAATACAACACCCACACACACACATATCTCAATGAAAACGTCGCTTGAATGCAACCCTGCAACCGAGTTAATGTGTGTGTACACCCATGTGGTGTTGTGACATCTTGCCTGTAGTAATGTACATGTGTGTGTAGGGGTGTGTCTGCTTGGCTTCTCGCAAGCTACTAAGCGGGCGCGCAAAGTGACGTTGCAGCGAATGGCAAACAAAACTTACTACCACAAACGAATGTTGGCTGTGTTGCTTCGCGCCGCCTCGTAAACGATGAAGAATTGGATCAAGTGCTGCAATTAACACAAATTGCCATTGCGCTCCTGCAGCCGCAACAGTGGCAGCTGCTGTCGATGACAATATGCGAGTATGTGACACACACACACACACTACTGCATATACAATTTCGAAAATGTGTAGCATGTGTACCCTGTAGGAAATTACACTCGCTAAGTGAGCTATGGTACTTTCGTGGCAACATTAGATAAATCGACACTGCCGCTCCATGAATTTTGATGAGGGTTAGCGAAGACACGCCTTTAATGGATTCTTATTATTTGAGATGACCTTATATATATGCATTGGAAGCACTCATGGGGTTTACTTTGCCAGATGGTGGACAATGAGGTGCTCTGGGTCTGTATGTGCTATGCTATGCTTCTCAAATTGGCAATACTTATAGATAATACTGACGACATATAGTAACTATTTAATTTCTTATAAAATGATTATGTCAAAAATGGTTCTATCGCTATCAGTATCTATTGTGACGTCATTAAACCTGATAATATTCCCATATCAATATAGCTTGATCATATATTCCAGTAGATATGTACATATTCATATGAGTTCAAATGTACTGCAAGTATTTTTCGTGCCACTTGTGCTTAGATACCATTTGTGCACTGTCATCTAACAACAACAAGAAAAGTAGTGTATATACTCACCGGGACCCTTGGCGCCACCCTGCATAAGACGGCCCAAACGAAATATAACGGCGCGTTCATATTCCTGTACTACCTGTAATTTAGAAAGAGGAAAAAGTGAAAATGGAATAAGCAGAAGCAGATGCAGAGAATAATAAGAAAAATTATGCGCCTGAATGGCAAAGTTATTTGACAACGATCTTGTGCAATTGTGTGTGAGTGTATGTGCGTGCGAGCAGTTAGGCAAGTTGCAATGACAGCCGAACAGCCGAACAATGGCGGCGCACAACTGCAATGCAATAAAATAAATGATTGTTAGAGCTGCTGCCGGCTGCTACCTGCTGGTTGGTTGCTCCTTGCAGGTTACACGTTGCTGAATGCATCCATTTCAAAAGGTGTAAAAATCATTTATTATTCCATTTATTTGCTGCTATGCCACTTTGATTGCCTTAACGGCTGTGGCATGCAATCTGCTTAGTTGCTGAACTTAATATCGCTTCTAACGCGCATTACAAAGCAGCTGCAAGCACACACTAGCACACACACACATAGCACATATATCGCGAGTGATGGCACTTACCTTAAAGCACACGAACAAGCTGAACGGCAACGTGAGTATGACAAGTCCAACAGATAGGAATATCAGCAACTTCCCACACGTTGATGCCTTATCGCTAATTTCTTCATCGGCTATAAAATGAGATTCCAAGAAGAATTACTTAAACGCTTGCGTGGTTGGAGTAAAGCAATTAAATTCATAGAATGCCTGCACTCACATAGTTTCTAATATATAACGGTGATCACAAGCAATAACAACATAAGTCGATAGCAGTAAAAGCTATCGTACACTTATAATGAAACGATATACTTGGGAAAGTCTTAAAAATTATAACTTTTTGCCACACAGTTGGTAGTACGAGTAATAGCACAATGTGAATAAACTGCTAATTATACAGTGTGTTTTTTCTCAAAAATTTGTTAAACCTCTTAAGCTGTTATTGCTTGTGACCGCAGTTTCAAATAATTATGCCTATATCTATAAAAATGTATTGAAATGTATGCGTAAAAAGCCTTAAGATATGCGAAATTCGCTCTTAATCCAAGGTTTTAATAATCGTATAAATTCGATATTCAAATTTTAGAGCGAAACTACCAAGACGCCTTAACCTAGAATAAAATAAATTGTATTTAACTACTTTAATTAAGCATTTAACAACCTCATTTATATATTTATCAAGGGATTCACAGTATTACATATTTTTGGAGAAATTATATTTTTCCGTTGGTTTATTTTCTTTTTTTTTCTTTTTATATATAAGTATAGCAAATAAACGAAAGTTAAATCCAGTCGCCGCGTTCTAGCTAATAGCCATTAGTACACATATAATCAGCACATAATTAAAATGGATTATGGATAATCCACAAGCTAAAAAAATTGTGGAATGAGGCAATAACTATGTTGCCGTTTATCGCAATCAGTCAAATCTCGCTTTAAGCACAATGACAATGATTAAGTTTTACTCGAAATCATCAAAAATAATTAATGTAACAAGTAATAAAAAGTACTCTGGTAAACATTGTTTTTGTCATACAAATTTTGTGATGATTTTTGTTTATGTTGGCATACCCTCACGTATTACGTCTAGTCTTTTTGTGACAGGTATATATTCATTTCTGATCTCTTGATTTTTAAACAACTGATAAAAAAAAATTCTAAAAGCTATGCTTAGAGATGGCATTGTATATGTAGATATAAAGAGAAATTCCCCAAACTCAGTGAAACAAATATTAAAGAGGGAATATAAGTAGGTCCACAAATACGGCAAATGATAAAAGATAAGAGGTTTGAAGAAAAACGAATGATCAGGAAAAATTCACCTAGAGATGTTTTGTGAACGTTATCCAATGTTTCTTAGGAAACCATAAATCGGTAAATTGCAAAGACTTAATAATTGAATTTATAATGTCATATAAAGCTTTGGGGTGTAATATGTCCTTAAAAATACATATGCTGTACTCCCATCTGGATTTCTTTCCGGTAAAATTGGGTGCTCGGAGTGATTAACAAGGCGAGAGGTTCCATCGATACATTTCCTTAATGGAGAAGCGCTGTCAAAGAAAATGGAGCGCAGGAATGCTAACAGATTATTGCTGGAGACCTAAAAATACCTTCCAGTAGCCAAATAATCACGAACATCATAAGTATTTTTTCTATATTAAACAATAATTTTTCTAAATTTAGCTGATGTTTGTACTTTTTAAGAAAATATATGCTTTGATGTCACAAAAATACCTGACGTGTGATTTCTTTTCCACTGACATATTATTGTTTAGTCAAAATTTTATATGAGTTTTCTTGTGACAAAAAAGTTAAAATTTTTTAAACTAGTAGTATTTTTCCATTCCATATTTTATAGTATCAAATTGAATACTTTAATAGAATATCATAAGCAATTTCGTTGAAAGATACACAAGTAAGCTGCCTCATATGGTATACATGAGTCCAAATACTATATTTGAACACAGCTTAAGTGTAATCCACTTATTTATAAACTCATACTAATTCTTTAAGCTAACTCTTACACATTACCCAAATACATTACAAGGACCATACAAGCAACAAGAATCTCCAGGGAATATTCAAAAACCGCAACAAACCAGCTGTGTTCAACTGTACATACTTATTTGTAGAGCATAAATTAAATATGTGTATATGTATGAGGCGTTGAATGCTAAATCGATTGATGTATTGAGACATTGGTGGGATAATGAAATTTACATAAACGCACACACTTTCCAACATTTCATGTAAATTTTTGCCTGCATACACATGTAAATATGTATGTGGATACTTGTGTCACTTGTATGCGTTAGAGTATGGCCACGTGTTGTATTGAACCGCAGAAATGTAAATGGCATGTGCTGCAAAATGTGTAACTGAAAGCCGCGTTAAGGGATAACATAAATATTTGACATTTTCTCATACAAAAATACATAAATATGCGAATATGTAATATGCTGAGAAAATACAACCTTTAGGGTGATCGAAAAAGAGAGTGGAATAAAAGGTGAGATTAAAAGTTTCGTGAAACTTAGTTTCCCTTACCGTTGATGAAGAGAGCACCACAATATGTTGTGTAACCTCACTTTAGATAATTACTTCCAATACAAGTAGAATAATTGTAAACGAAGGGAATATTTGCATAGGTAAGCAATCGTTTCGTTTTCAAAATGCTCTATGCAACGCCTAAAAGTTTGCTCTTATTTCCCTAACACACAATATATATTATATATTTATTATCTTAGCAGTACTACAGGTCTGTTGAAATATAACGGGCCTCCAAAACATCGATCTGATGCAGAAGTGATACATGGTGTATGACAAATTTGTCTTTTGTGTAACCTCTAGATTTAATAGTTTATATCAGATATCATAATCAATATGTAAATAACAGTTCAATATTTTATGACACATATTCACGTATTGATAGATGTTTGTTTCTCCTAAAACATTACTTTTATTTTTTAGAAAGTACCATTATTCTACAAAGCTTCATCTGTATATTTATACTGATACCACTATTAATTGAAATCTTTCGAAAATAGACCTTTTGAAATTTATATTAACGCCAAAATATAGGCAACACTCTTCGCCTATTGTAAATTCGATAGTTTTAATCAAGATACAAAAAATGTACTGCCATTTAATTTAAATTGTAGAATTGAAAATATCACTTTCATTGGTAAGAAAAAGTTTATTCAGAAGATTACAATCAGAATAAAAATTAAGTACGGTATACATCGTGTCGCAGCAGTTGGTATGTACTCGTACAACTGCAGAATTCGTTCTATAAATCGATATTATATACACAAGTACATCACTGTATCCCGACGATAGTATGCAAGTAATGCATGTAAAATAACATGTTTTTTTTTGTTACATATTTACAATACTACATATATGATTACTTTGCAAAAGTACCTCCTGGACACTTTCATTAAATATTCATTAAATTTGTTATGGAAAAAGTTGACTTACAATGAAGGAATCCACGCGAATGCTTCGCTGTCATATCTGAAAGTACAATGGCGTTTTCAAAGAAAACACATAAAAAGAGAGGCAGAGAGTGAGTGGTGAGTAAAATCGTATGTAATCACTTGACTATGAAGAGGCGATCAATAGCGTTCAAAGCAAGACGCGACTTGTCTCAACAACTACTTATGCACGTACATATATTATATTATGTTATACTAGGTCTATGTCTACATACACATATAACACGTTGGATATTAGCATAACCGTCTATGACACACCATTCGCATATTGCTAGCTCCAAATATACGGGATTGACAGCGCCACAATTATTGACATGCTACAAGTTGCCACAAGCCTAATGACTAATCTTACCACTACACAGATAAATATATATTAAATTATATATATTATATATAAATGCATGAATGTTAATTTGTTGTTATACCATTAAATAAGTGAGCATACGCTTCATACGCATCTACGCATATAAATACATTCTGATTATACCATATACAGTTGATTCGCATTCATATACACTCTCAGAGTTGCAGGATATTTATTTAATGAGATTAATTCGTCGGGCACACAGCCACCAACTCTGAAGAGATTAAGGCATGGCACACTGCTCCATAAGCCATATAAATGCTTAATATCTCGGTTACTGATTACACGAAATAGATTTCAGCCAAAGCGTTGTTGTTGCAGGTCAGGCGGCACACTTTTTAATATATCTACATTTGTACATATGTAATTGCTTAGTGCTAAATTTACGAGCATACAAGTCTTATCAATACAATGAGTGGACGCTAATGTAAACAAATTTGCGAAATAATGAAATAAAAGCTGAAGTTAGCTGCTCAAAGCATTAAAATTACATGCAATTTATGAATAATATCCCCTTATGCTAATTTTATGCGATACTAATTAATTAGGCGTATATATGTACATGTATGAGTTGAGAAATAATTACTTTAAACTATCGTAAATAATCTGCATAACAAGGTTGTCAGAAAAATATGAGTAAAATTTTACCTGTTTCCTAAAATAAAATTACCTAAATTCGATTGACGTCTAACAAATAAGTGCCTTGAATAGTGTTGGAATGTAATCTAATAAACACGGTGAATTCACCTCCATTTCGTATACGAACTGTGATTGTTGTTTCGCTCTCTATACCATATGTTTCTGAATGTAACGATTATAGATGAAACAGCATAAATCGGTAATGAGTAGTGATTTTGCGTTGAACTATGCGGAGCAGTTTTTTGGAGGGCTGCCACCCGTTTGCAAAAAGAACATTGAACATTGCTTCCACGCTAGTTCAGTTAGAGACTTGACTAACATAACAAACGGCGACGACAAAAAGTTTTAAAGAACTCTTTAATATAGTTATTCACTTGAAAACATTCTTTTTTTAAGGTTAACAAGTATAATCTTAAAAACAAATATTGATTTTGGAAAAAAAGTTAAAAACGAGTTTGCTTTAAACTTTGTGTTCACATGGAATCACGCCTACAGAATCATTGAAATGTTGCAGGGGTCTTTTGAGGAGTCTACTTTATCACGAACAAAAGTATTTGAGGGGTTCAAAGCATTCAGTGAAGGTCGTGAATGTTTGGAAAACTTGCCTCGAGGCGTCCATCCACCTCTATTGAAACCCGTAGGGCTGGCATCAAAGGGATAGCAGAGGATCTCAACACATATTGGTTAATGTTGTGGGTATAAAGCGTGTCAGTGTTAGATTCGCATCAAAAGACCAGATTCTTTTGCAAAACCGACGTCTAGTATAGGTCACAAAAGATATGCTTGACATTTTTGCTGAGGACCCCATATTTATCAAACGCATCACTACTGGTCGCGAGATTTGGATTTATGAATAGCGAATGGCGCTCCGAAAATGAGCCGAAATCGGAAAAATCTAAATTCGCTGAAGGCATGGAAAAGTGGGTTACGCGTTGAAAATTAATATTTTATATTAAAACAATGCGCGGCGATAGAAGTTATTGGAATACAGTACCTTATATTGTACATATGTATATGTATGTACATAAGTGGAAATATTATTAAACTATTAAAATATCTATTACACCTACTATAAAATACTGCCATAACCAAGAATAAATAAACCAAAAACTTTTAATTAGCAAAAGTACACATATGAGGACGAAGTGCAAGGTTCTCCATAGTTTCATTATTAAATCAGCACGCAGCCAAGTTCGCACGAAATCGCAAACGATTTCAATGGAATTAAAAGTTTTTAATTTTTCAATTTAGTTAACATAACGGCATTTCGAGCATTCCGCGAAGCGCCTGTTCAAACCCACAACAGTGCACTTTAAACCAATTTTGGTTGTGGAAATGTTTTCCTTTCCAATTATCATAATAATGCTGCGGAAATAATGGAAGCAACAAAAATCGGCGTGTGCAGAAAGTCAAGCGGCGGACGCATAATAAATAGTAGTGCACTTACTTTTTACAATAGATAAGTAATGCTGACTGCACATACATATTCGTATGTATATGTATAACAATCGCTTGTATGAAGGATTTGCACAAAACAAAACCCAGTGGTGAATTCTGCTGGCGCAGTTGAAGTCACTTATATTCCAGCATGGTTTTGGCAGGGCGTAGCGAACACTTTGACTGTTATTGGGATGGAAATTCCACATGATCAAATTTGTGTGATCAAATATATTTTAACCGCTGCCACTCTGTTTGATTGTTACAGTTATTTCTAACCGTTGTATATTTCCAGCAGACTCGGCTTAATTATAGTATAAATGCGGTGTTTATTATAGAGTCATTATTGTGCATACATATATATAATATTTTGTGAGGTGAAGCTGCCATTACTATATATATATAGATATACATTTGTTTCAACAACCTGTCCGTGTGTCATATGTGCTAAATGCTTTACAGTTCGCTGCCGCTGTCGTCGGTAGCCGTGCAACGCTTCGAATTTTACGAGTACAATGCATTACTTTTGTACGCAGCTTGTTTTACAATGGAATACCTAGAAGCACATCCTTATGGGCAGGATAATAGCAGAACTGAATGAAATTTGTGTACAATTTTCATTGTTGTCCTATAAACAAAACAAAAAAAAAACACAATAATTGTTAGCATTTTATTTCCCTATGTAATATATAATGATGCCTTCTGTGAGAAGAGAGCGGAGCTGCCACCAAGCTGCTGGCTGAAAAAGGTTCATAACCTCACAAATTAGCTACTTTAAAGTGCTTACGTAATGAAGGTTCCGGAATGCAACAAAAAACAAAAGATATTTAGTTACAGGGGATTTCTTTAGCTTAGCTTGCATGCAGTGGCACACATTTTTTTTTTGTAATTAAATAAAATATGTGATAATTTTAAATTTCACAGTAAAAACTATATATTTTTGTATTAAAATTCAACGAAGAACAATAATAGCATATATGGTATAATACTTTTTTGCATTTTCAGCTGCAAATGTTCACTTTTAAAGGCTCTGCCACCAAAATATTGGACATCTCTATCTGAGTACCTAAATATAAGCTAGAATTATTAAATAAAATACTAATTTTTTAAGCAAACTACCAAAAACCCATTAAAATCATATTAAAATTCATATTACAAAATAATTCTCCTTAATTCTTAAAATATTTATTTTTGAAGGCGATTTTCCTCTAGCAAAGTTATTCAAAAACCCTCATAAATCTCAACTGTTACAAAGTGGTAGGTATATAAGTATGTGTAATAATTATAAATTTTTAATTAATAGTCTCTAAGAATCAGTTATAGGTCACATTTAAATAAATGCATAAGAATTCAAATATTTATTTACCCATGAAGCACAATAGTTCCCATTGCATACATTAAAGGCGCTTCAATTAAATGCACTTATTATTTATGGGACATGAAACCACAACCGCAACATCTGTGTAATTCCCACGCTCCACTTTAAACAGTTCCCCATTAACTTCAAATTTTCCAACCGCAAGCAAAAATCAAAAGTATATACATATATTATAAGTATTTAAAAAGGCGCTTACACTACATCTTAGCCGTTGTATACATTTGGTACTAAATTATGAGGATAAGCATGCATATACGCACCACAGCCCTACACACATATTTGTACATATATTTACATATGACCAACCATAACGGTCAGCAGTTGACCAGCACATGGCTTACTGTACACACACATACACGGGTAGTTGGGGCTTATTAGCTCAACGAAGTCAGACAGTAATCACTCACTCACCTTTTTTAGTATCTGGCATTGCGTTCGCTACCCTTCACCACCCTCTCGATTTGTACCCGCTCGTACTTGTTGCTGTTTTGGACGTTTTACTGTTTGGCAATTGGCAATTTGGCACTTTTAAGACACACACACACACGTATAGCTAATTAAGCCGTGATGTGTATCATTAAAGGATCACAGTTGCGTGGCAATGGAAAGTGGACAATTGGCGTGGTTTTGAGTAACGGTATCCTAATTAATTGTTGCCGCTATAGGTAGGTTATGTGAATTATTGCATCGGTTTACCTTTTGTTGTTATTTGTTTGGCAATTTTTTATAATCATTAAAGGGTTTACTTTGAATTTAATTATCGCTCTTTTTTCAGTTGCTAATAAACATTTTTTACTAATAAGACAGTCTATATTACTATGCACTTATATTATTTGACATTTAGTTAATAACTTTTATTTAATTTCGTTTTTCCAGCTGTACTTCTTTCTTGTACCCGCTTCAACACTATCACAACTAACCCACTATGTAGTCTTAATTATTTTTTATTCTTTGTACTTTAATATTACATTATCTCATTCACGCGCCTTTCTCAATTCGCTTCGCTCTCGGCCACAGTGCAACTGTAACTGAAACAGCATTCTGTTATGGTCGTCCTGCTGATCGCTTGCGGTGACCGTACTTATTAGCAGCAACAAAGCAACAAAATAAAACAACAGCACCTATTCACACATTCAGCCGCTACTACTGCACCCCTCCACCCATGACACGGTGAGCACGGCAAGGCGCACACTCTACTGCACTACAGAGCACTGTTAAGGCAATAGCCGCTGTTAATGTTATGTGCAAGCCGTTGCTGTAACAGTCACTTATTGTTCTTGTTGTTATTGCAGCTGCTGTTGGCACCTATAATATTCGCTCACAGCATACACGGTCGCCGCAAATGCTTGGTCGCGAAGTTCCTGTCACCTATGTGCTCGCCCGTCAACTGAATTCACTTTGCGCACAGCATTTCCATTTTATAAGGGTACACATTCTTCTAACTTCTTGGTCTTGGTCCATGCAAGCTGCGTTAACGCTCGTGAAGCATAACGAGCGCTAAATACGAACACGTCTGTCCCCGCTGGGCAACACAGGCACCGGTAGCTACGAACGCGACGACGAAAGGCGCTAGTCGCTGGCCGTTAGTCAGTCGCCCGGTTTTTTAAGACGACGTCAGCAACGCCGAATAACATACAACGCATGTTTGCTGTCGTCGACGTCATTGCTTTTGGGGCAGTGTTACCCACATGCGCTCGTTAATGACGGAGGCACAACTGCTATCACAGCATCCATGTTGTGCTACTGTTAGTAACATGAGAGGTGGAGAGAATAAAAGCACGAACTTCGATTTTGAGCTGGAAATTCTGGTAGGTCGAACAGGCCCAAATACAAGCGAATGCATAGAATAAAGTACAATATTTAATATGAAAAAGTAGCGAGTGGAATTTATTGAAAGCTTTTGAAGTTAAACTTAATGCTGCCAGACTTTAATATTTAAGTAAATTATATTTGTTCGTTTAAATTTGAATGTATCGCAGCTTCAAAAAAGGAAAAGCCTAGGATTAAAACCAAAAATGTTATGGAAATAACTTGATAGCCTTGACAACCTTTCATGAACACTCCTAAGTGAATTACGCGCTATATCTTGAATGTACAATTACTTTTTATTTCATATTTTCCTATCTCCAATCACAAAATAAATCTCTTTTGCCTATTCCAATTATACCCAGTACTTTTAAAGATGTTGACTATTGCTTGAGGACGCCATGCCGTATGAGCAACAGAAAATTCAAAAGGCGCTTCCCATAAATGACAGCACTCCACGTATGTCCATGTTAAACACATTTAACTTTGAAAACTCCAAACCCGCACTTAAGTGTTTGAAGAATAGCTACAGCTTACGAATAAACTTTATCCATGGAATAAACTGAAACCTGAAAGCTCAAAAGAAAAATGTACTGAGCATTGCGTTAAGAATATAAGCATAAAGCTTTAACTGCAAATTGTTTGCAGCTGAAGAGAAAGATTGAAAGAAAGAGAGAGTGAAAGAGCAAGTACGCAAAGAGAATCTGAGCGTCAATGGAATCCAATTCATCTCTCTTTCAAAACATTGAGTGGCACCTTGAGTGGCACATTGAGTCTTTTATTCAGCTTTGTCAAGCATCCTTTGGAAACTACAAAAATACTCACAGATGTTGAACGCGCGAATGAACATTGGTGTGCACATCCGCACGCAAAAAAGATCATCAACGGAAATGTGTTAAATTAAGTCAATTTGACTTTTAAATCAAATCACGTTTCATTCAATTTGCTATGCATATATGAAGACTGTTCAATTCTTAAATCTATAAATATTCATCAGTAAATTTAATAAATATAATATATATATTAATAATATTTATGAATTATGTATTGGGTGTACTTTAATAGAATTACTAGAAATATTGCAGCATTTATTGTAAATTATAAAATTTATGAAAATATTATCATCAAATGTTTTACTGTACTTAAGTCATAAATATTTATGCAGCCGTAAATTTTAGGAAAATAATAAAGATTTATTGATGATAACGCCGCCTTAAGTGTTTGGAAGAGCTTTAATAAGATTTAGCTGTCTACTATTGTTTCCCTTTTAATTTATTTGGCCATAATCACTGACATCACATTGACTTTTGCCCTAAAGACGCTTTATGATTCACTCTGATAATGTCTAATATAATGTCAGCTCGCAAAAAAATACAACTATAATAAATGTATTTTTGTTTTTTCTGAAACCCTGCAGGAAACACTCGACTAGTTTGATCAAACATAGGTTTAATATTTATTGTTCGTTGTTTATGATGAGTTAGTTTAGGAACCTATTTTAAATATGTTATAGAATTTTCGTATTCAAAACACTTTATAATTTCTGACTTAAGAATTTCAAAAACTACTTGTGTAAGCACATTCTGGTTTTTTCAATAACAATCATGCTCCTTCAAATATTTTACCTTAATAACCTTACTAATATTTTCACTGGGTTCGTACTACATATATTTGTTCAACGTTGTTCAACACCCTGTGCATATGAATTTAATTCATACACAAATCTGCTATATTCGCAGATGATTGCGACCACAAACAAGATTGTTACAGCACTTTTGCCACTACTCAAAGCTCGTTAATATCGCACCAGAAAAGCATGATAAAAATGTTGAGAATGCAGCAGCCATGTGGCAGAGAATTGCCGCTGATATCAGGCCAAGATGCCGCCCTACGCCTAACGTATCTGTTACATACTCCCAACACATGGAGGTTGGCAAATCAGACCACATATCAAATATACACGACGAATTTTCATCGTTTCCGCCATAAGAAATGCCTTGACTGAAAGCCAAAGAGAGAGAAGTAGGGGGATAGCTTCAGTGGGAAAGTTCATGAATGGGAGCGCTTAAACTCGCTGATAGTTATATACATATTTAAGCGTTTATGCGGTGGAGAGCAAAATAAATGCATATCTTCCAAAAAAAATTCTGACAGCACCAAGTAAATAAAAGTTATAATGAGGTATGTAATGTTTAGGTATAAATAAATATACTTAAGAGTTTCTTAAAGACTTACAAAAACTGAAAATTTTGATAATAATTAAGAAAAAAAAATATGTTGCGAGTAGAAATTCTTCTTAATTTCTAAACAATAGAAACAATGTTTAATAAAAGTTGCTTTTATTTTGCTCAATATTGTAAATACTCATCCGAAAATCCCTCTTTTGCATACAAACGCCTATATACAAACATACGAGTATATAGCTATAAAAATCGTAAAGAAATGAAGCAATAAAACTGATTCTGACGACATTTATTTAAGGGGGCGTGTCAACATGTATTCTTGGCTATGATTTTCTTGCTCTCTCATGTGTGCCTGTGAAGTCGCTATTGACTTTGAACTTGAAATATCGGAAATCCGCTTCAAACATATCAATAGCCAATATTTTTTCAACATTGCAGCCTATAACCTAGACTTTTCAGCATCAATGTGCATTTAAAAATGAAAATAAAAATGTGTGTATGTATGTGTGTTTGTATGTGCTCTCCAGCAATTCCTACCGAGCCGCCGCAAAGTATGCGAGCCGCATTATCAGTGGCGTTTTACTGGCGCCATGCCGTAAAGCGTACTTTTTATGAGCCTTCCGTTACTTTTATCATTACCTCCGCTTTACCGTTGTTGTATTGCCTTTTGGTTCTTGATTTTTGTTTTGGCAAGCAACATTCCGCGTTTGTACATTTTTCGACGTCCTTAAGGACTTTGAACTGTGGCGCTGCGTTGTAGGATGTAGAAAGCTTAGGGTGAATCTGAAATGAAATCATTTCGGCTACAAACCAACACAAGCACACCCATGTAAATGTTAGGCAGGCATATATTGCTGAAACGAGCAGGTGCCTCAGTAGTGTGCGTGTGACTTTGCGAAGCGCAGTGTATCAACACAGCACGACAGGATTTACTTTGAGTAAAACTGCACCAATATTTAACAATTTTCAAACCAATATAAATACACTCTAAGTCTACTTCATGCTTTTCAACAACACAATATATTTTTCTCTTTGAGGCCATTCGGCATAAACTGAATTTGGAATGGATTAGATATCGAACCTCTGATTCTCAATCTGCCACTAGACTCTATAGTATGTATAACACAATAAGTCCGTCTAGTCGCGAGTATTTTTCATTTTTTATATCTGAGTCCACAAAGCATTACTGCGATATGCTGGCATACGTTAGTGTCTATTTATATACACACGAAAAACACACACGCAGACACAAATTTAGGCATAGGGGTATAGAAACTATGCTGCTGGCGAAAAAGAAATTTCAGCAAACAACCATCCAGAGGCCGACTTTCAGCTGGTTGCCAACATTTTTTATGCCACTGGGCTGTGCAATGCGCACAGAACGCAGAACACAGCACACAGAGCAGTGAGCTCTAAGCGCCGAGCTTCCAGCTAATTGTTGTCATTTGCTTTTTCCAGCCAACGGCGGTGGCACAGATGCGTTGACTCGTAAACCGGAAACGCTTTGTTCTTGTGTATGCGGTTAACATTTTAGTAGACACAGCCAAACACAGACACACACACGCACAAAGTTATTTAATTTTACAAAGTGGATATTAGAGCGAGCGTCATTTCATATAATTGCTGTGAAATTATGCATTTCGGTCTATTTTTCGTTTCCGCAAAATTACAAATTTGAAAACGAGCAAGTGAACAATCAAATATACATATATCTGGGTCTTTCAGGCTCTCATTAAGTATTTAAGTATCTTGTTTTTTTTCATATTTTAATGTCAAGCCAAAACATTTTCAGGCTACTATTAGTTACACAACAATAACTTTGTTGATTAATATTTATTGAAAATTAAAGGTTTCAAATCTTTCGACGTACTCTCCAGGACTGTTTAACTGTTGAAATACCGCTCAAGCGAGAAACTTAAGATTTGATAATCTTAAAGTTAATACAAATGAGCTTAAGGCAAAGAAGAAAAAAATGTTGCATCTACCTTCTAGCACGGCTAAGTATAGAAGCCGAGAAGGTTACAAAATACTTTTGTGTTTTGTTTTCTATTTTCACCAAAAGCAATGTGTTCGATATTATGTGTTCTTTTATTCGTCTTAGCTCTTCTTGTACGAAAATCAATCAGAAATTTCAGACAGCTTCCGCTCTTATCTCTAGCGGAAGCTATTCGCTAAAATCCCAATGAAGCCACTTATCTCGCTTCTGATGTAGTTTCCATTTCGCCAACATTTGTTACACTTGCTGCAGAATTTACCAAGTGCGTAGTAAGAAAATCGCAAAATGAAATTGCCGCGAAGCGCAAAATGTAAATCGCGAAGGTTGCCATAAAATCTATCAATATTAAATATTTCAATTGAAATTTTGCAAATTCCACGCAAACAATTGCTGGTCAGTAAGCAAAGTTTTCGTGTGCACGGCAACAACAACAACAAACAAACTTTTTCAATTTATTTTTAACCAAAAAATGGCAGCTAACAAGTTGAAGATACTTTGCAAGAGTCGCGGCTATTAGTTATAAATTATATGAACAGCCATCATTGGTGCCGGTATCGGTGTCTCATAACATTCCGAGTGAAAGTTTGTTGCAACTTTAACTAGCAAAGTTATGCACTGAATGGCTAAAAGTTGGCGAAAAGAGAGAATGCGGGAAAACTGCGGAGAAGTAACGCAAAGCGAGATGAAAGCAAAGAATGCCGGCGAAGCCGAGGGCCGTAGTGTTGTTTGCATCACTTTCTTTTGTGCGTTCGCTTGATTTCAAATAAAACTCTTCACATTGCACTCCGCCTCAACACACACGTAATTAAAATTGAATTTGCTACGCATGCAACACTTATAAATCTGGGCGA